AATCTTTCTGCCTCGGCCTCCCAAGTGCTGACATTATAGGTGTGTGCTACTAAACCAGCACGTTTTTCTTGATAGTTTAGCTAGCAATTTTTTAAAATCTTGTTTTTTTGTCTTTTTCTATTTAACATGTACATATGTGCCACATTATCAGATATGGTTTAATTGCCTTTGTTGACTGGGGACACCTCAGAATCTCTCCAATTATTTTGAGGTGTCCCTAAATTTCCAAATTCAATGCTGAATCACAATTCCCCCCCCCAAAAAAAAAGCTGATTGAGGGTGCAGCTCAGTGGTAGAGTACTTGGCTAGCATGCACATGTCAATAGAAGAATAGGTGCCATTTCCATCTAACCACAATAGAACTTTCATGAGAAAGCATAAATTTCTAGCTAGAATTGCTAATGCTAGTGCCATAGAACTCTGTACCTGTTGGCCTCAATGTAAGAAAAGTTCAAGTTGATATGCTTTATCTCAGACACAATGAAGTTCCTGGATGGGGTAAGTGGGTTAGATTTGAAAACATCCATATTAAAGAGTTTAACCAAGAAATCATAATAACAGCTTTTATGGAAAGATGTATACAAGCTTTGAAACACAAGACAATGACAGTTTGACAGTTAAGAAACAAAAATGTCATCAACTATGCATTGGACTGCCAACCAGTTAATATTCAGAACAGTGAAAACAAGCCATTTCGATACACAGGTAAGACTGCATGCTGAGAAGATGTTTTCAAATGCTACGGAACAAGAACACAACTTTAGGTGCTTGGGTTAGAAGGGCACTTTGGAATTCAGGGTTTACTTTCTGTAATAAGACTTCCTATGATTAAAACTGTGCTTATTTTTTAGTTTTGTATTTTCTACAGCATATAAAAATAATCTACGTTGGAAAATACAAAAGCCAAGTTAAGAAATAAAGAAAAAAGAAACTTCTCTCCATCTGAGAATGCTTAAGTGGGCCATAAATTGAGAGGAAAAATACACTCCAAAGAGCTCAGAAAGCAAAAATACTTAGTAAATATTCTAGTTAGCAGAATGTGATTCAACAAATTTCTTTTTTCTTTGCAGTTTGTTTCCTGCCAGTAAGCTGTCTGTAAATACTTTACATATACAAGTGTCAGCAATGGTTTTCTTTTACTATACTTGTCCTTTCTTTTGTTCTTAAGTTTTTCCTGCTTTTCAAAATAATATTGTAAAATGAAAAAAAAGAAAATATTTTAGGCTATAGTGACAGAAATTAGAAAAGTAAAGAATTAACATGTGCTAAGTACATCTGATACGTCAGCAAATGTTTGGTACGTAGGACTCAGTGACATTTGCGAGTGGCCTTAACATCACTCTTATGTACAGAAGCCTGAGGTGCAGAAGTGGGGATGCAGCTTAGTGGTGGCACTGTGTGTGTGTAGAAGAGGCCCTTTTTGGGCTCTTTAATACTACAAATACAAGCAAACAACAAAAGCCCCTTCCAGTTCAGAGAACCAAAGCAACTTCTCCAACATTATAAAATAAGAAGCTGAGGTCAGACAAAACTCACCATCTGCTTGACTAGGAAATACACTTTCTACTACAACTGCATCTTCCTTTCAGACACTGGTAGGTCAATGAAAAATAAATCTGATCAATACAAATGAAACTAACAGAATAAACTATGTTTTAAATTTAATATGCCAAGCAATATATTTTATAAGTAAACCAAGACATACAATAAGTTTAGCACTCAAAAAGAAAATGATCTTTCATAGTAATAATCTTGGCCCTACGTGTGGTTTAGTGTGTGTTACTTATGGCTTTGAGACTTTTAAATTATCTTACCATGTAGCATAGATGGTAATAATCTTATTATGCTAACATCTTAGCATAATAAGATGTTAAAGGTAATAGTTAATGCCACTTCCTCACACTGGGAAGTCCTGCACCTCTAATAGAAGACACCGAGGCGGTAAAAGATGTTAACAAATATGCTGCTAAAGCTTCCATAAAAAAAATTACTACAGGGGAAAATCTGCCCTCAACATCTACCCAGTCCTCAAGGCAGGATTAGGTCTAACTATCCTATGTCATCAGAGCACTCAATATGAGTAATCTGCTGAATGCTTATATTCACGGTAGGTTCTCTGAAGGTAATGATGTGTTTGTGCACTGGAAGTCAGGGGCACCCACACACCCTTCTATACCATGGTTGCTACAAAAGTCCACTGTCCACTCTTTCAACCTGCTAAGGCAAGTGAGTGGAAAGTCTTGTGCTTACAAACACCACTTTATCATCAGAACACGTTCACAAGACTTTTTAGTATGTATTGAGCCTGGCTAGTTTTCAAACCATAAGTACATAGCATTTTAGCCCTGAAAGGAACTTAAGATTTCTTTTGTGGGGTGGGGGGCAGAACCAGGGATTGAACTCAGGGCCTTGCACTTGCTAGGCAAGTGCTTATTCTACGGAGTCGTCTCCCTGGCCCAGGAATTTCAGATTTTGTACTACAGCTTCCCTACTGGGTGGGTAACTCCATAATGAAGGGCCATGCAAACTATCTAAGCAGAACTGGGCAGACCTGGTAGACCACACCATTAATCTTACTGACTATGCTGTTCTAACAATGTTCAAAACCCCTTCACTGCACATTCACCTACAAATCACACCTTTTAGTTGCTTTGTACAAAAGAACAAGATTTAAAAAACCCCAACAAGATTATTAATGCTTTGCATGTTCAGTAACTCTGCCTATTGTTTTTTACAGTAGTATGAACAGCGTGATACAATCTTTCAATTTCTTTAGTAATGAGACCATATATTTTATAGATTATATGAAAGTCCAAGGAAAAGCAGCAAACTACTGAAATCTAAACACTGGCGAATTTCTGGTTTTGGGAAGCATGAAATTATTCATTACCATGAAAAAGTAGATAAAGTTGATTTTCATTTTTATATCCACTTTTTATAATGCTTTTTTCAGGAAAAATATTCAATTAGAAGACTACAACTTTAATTCCTTATTTGTTTTAGACACAGAAGAACAGTCTCACAAATGTTCAAGTTTTAATCTAAGATATATTTTGTTAAACACCAAATTATATCTTCAATTAACACTCAGCGTATACTGAAGAAGCTAGAAAGCGCAGTGTACAAGTAGACGTGACTTATGAAATCCCCTACGGGTTCTCAAAGTTTCCTAAGGGTTCACTGGCTCTTCTTTCTTGGACACCTGAGGCAGCACAGAGTAGACATGCCAGTCTGATTAGGAATTTAGGGACACTGGTGATACCCACAATCCCTTTGTAGGCTGCTTTGTACATTTAGTTTTTGCTCTAAAAACACAAGAACTGTGAAGCACTGAGTATAATGCTTCTTAAGACTAACATCAGGTTAAGAAGAAACTAGATGAATTTTTCCTTTACTAACCTTTTCTCTATATAGTTCTATAAGTATTAATATGTAATTTCACTTTTATTACTTCCACAGAATTACAGTAATATACGGTAGGAAAATTGCATTGTTACATGTTTTAGCAGTTCTGTCAGTTTTAATATGATTTCTGTTAATCTAAGAGAAATCATCTGTTATGCTGTTGAACCATGTACCCTTGCATAGCACGCAACGTTAAAATGTAAATTGCCCAACTATTTTTAGCTGCTGTTTAAAAAAATTCCTGTCTTTGGGAATAATGATTTGAGGCATTGTGTTCATTTTGTTTATCAAGCAGCTATTCAGCCTCTAGTGGGCCCAAGTGCTGATGTAAGCAAAAGCTTTTCAGAACGCCTGCAGCTGCGATCCAACCTCCCAGGTAGGCTGCAGGTTCAGAGCACAGCTGCCCTAGGCTGCAGAAACGCAGACCCATCTGCAACAGAGTTTCAAAGAGGATTTCAAATTTGACTTTTCATGTCTCACACAAGAGAGAAGGCTGAAGAAGAAAATAGGCAAGAAGAAAGGCAAACAACCAAGAAGATGTTATCTCTACTTAATAAAAAATAAAAAGTTCACACCCATGCTGCACCTTCTAGATCACTACTTGCCAAACTGGATAGTCTATTCAGTCTCTACCTCCATGGCTAAGACTCACTCAGCACCACCTGCACCCAGGAGCTAAGAATGGCTGAATAAAAGCCCAATATCCATTTACACAACAAAGAGATGTGCCTCACAAGGCTTTAGGGCCTCACGTCAACAGCACACTCCTCACTTGTAGGTGGGTGGGGGGCACCATCCCTTTCTGTACAGATTTTTAAAATCAGAGGTGAATTTATGATATAGGCTCATTTACAAATAATTTTATTCCTTTAAAAGTGTATTTAATAGCACAAACTCCCCTGAAATATTAGATTATCACACCCATTAATGATTGTTCTACCAAACCTTTTCAACCTCCTTTATCAAAGCCCTTTATTCTCAAAGGACACATTTTTGAGCAAAGAGAGATCAACAAACTAGTTGCTTGAAAGCTTTCCCGATGCAAGGCTGAAGTTAGGAAAGGCTTAATGAAGGCTTTAAAATCCACAAGGGCTTCACAATGAACATCTGATTCGGTGATTTATGCATATTAATAACCTCAGTCCTACTGAGGCAAGCTGAGCTGAACGTGTCCTCCGAATCTTAATGTCTTCAGCTCCATTGGGATTATTACAAATGTAAATTTCTAAGATTCTCAGCTATTAATCTCTGTCTGTCCTCCTGTTCAGCAACATAATGACTAATTAAACATCAAAAGACCTGTACAGGAGATCTTCTTTGACAGCTACTGGCCTAGTCTTCTTCCCAAGAGGGGAATCAAATGACAGGAACATGGAATAAGAGCATAGGAGTCAAGCTACAAATCACTGCAGAAAAATCCAAAAGCCTAACATTAAATGTGGATTTATCTCAATCAATGATTTTGTTAAGCAGTGAAAAGTTATTATGTAAAGTATGTTCAATGGCACCCACTGCATGTACCCCTGTGGCGAGAAAGTATTTAGTATTTATTCAAAATAAAACTTAACATCAAATTTTAAGAAATGGGTACTTACAGAAGAAGGCAGACCAGGAGGCACCTTCCTTACTTTCTTTGCTTGCAACGGATCTGGTCATGGAAAATAGTACATTTCATTAATGTATTATTATATCAGAAAAAAGTCAGACTCAAATGAATAGCAAGTAATTTCCCTAGTGCTCTCCTTTTTTCTAGTGTGCCAGTGTCACCAGAGGAACATATGAAGCCTCATTTCTTTTAGGTGGATCCACTGCACAGCAGGTTCTTTAATGGTGACGCAGTCAGGAATACACACCCCACTAAGTTTAGGAAGAAAACAGCAAGCAACGCAAGAAAGCAAACAACAAACCACTAGGTGTGTATCTAGGAAGGGAATGTAAATTTCTTAAAAATCTGTTATGTGCCAGGTACAATACTAAGTGCTTTACATCACTTATCTATGTTTCACTTGAGAGGGGGTTTGGGGCAACAAGTCATGTACATAATATACTTCCTCAGAAGAGAGACAAAATTAGTGTCTGCATCACCTTTAGGTTTAAAAGCATATTTTAAAAAAGTAGGAAGTTAAAATTGTAACTTGTTAAAAATCTAAGTAAAATTTAAAGAGTGCAAAATTAAGGTTTTAAGCATGCCAGTACCTGCTACATGAACTACTAAATGTGGGCATTGGCATATACAATGACGTCCAGTATCAAGTAGGAATGTTTACTTTAGTAACATGTAACAATATGTTACTTTAGGAACATATTAACACTGCAATGTCAGCACTTCTATACTCAATTGTTTTGCGACAAGTCATGTACATAATATACTTTTCTTCAGTAAATAATCAGAAAAAGCATATTTCTAAGACATAATTTATCAATGTAAGTGAAAAATGAGTTATTTTCACATGCTTGGACAGCATCATGTATTTTAACTTTAACTCAGTTGAAAATTTAAGACGTGTACATCTTATTTATTATAAAAGTGGTAACAGCTTTCCAATCTTGCAGAAATAATAAATCAAATTCAGGATTTGCAGAAGGGTTCATTATTAGGGAGAAGTCACGGAGAAGGCTGATCTAAAGTCCAATATTTTTAAAAATTATGAAAACAAGTAATAAACAAATACAGCATTTTTGTGGGCCATAAATGATACATAATAAAACATGTGCAGTGGACTAAGCACCTACTTAGGCAAGCACAGGGACTGGGACTTGTGCTGCAAGCTGGGCTGGCCCCACCCCCGGTGCACTGAGTCCAGCTGTGATGGTACACACCTGCAATCCCAGTGCTGGGGAGGCTGAAAACAGGAGGATCACTACGAGTCCAAGCTGCGTAGTGAGACCCTGTACCAAATACATGAAATAAATAAATAAATAAATAAATAAAGCAAGAGTGTGGTTTGAGAAAGAATGAAACCCATTTAAATTTGAGCTGGTAATTCTCTACACTGGATATGCCAGGAGGCTACAAGCTTAAAAAACAACTTTAAAAGTAGTATGTGGAAAAACTTTATAAAATAGAATGAGGAAATAGCACTCATTAGCAGCAGTGTGTATTTTCTTAAAACAGGTATGACAAAGATAAACAACATCTGGCATGCTGTACACTTGTAAAGCTTTAAGGCAAAATCTTGGTTCTTTGTGAAGTGTTTCTGAAGTCAACTCCTCACAACCAACACAGCACTCCTTGAGTAAAAGTCATATTTTATACAAGCCAACCGCATTGCTCCCATCAATTTGGTGCTTAGCACTCCATTTGGGGGCCACTAATAGGAAATGTTGCTACTTCGCTGCTACCAGTTTTTCCCTGTCATATGAATAAGATGTGTTTTATCATTAGCTTCCACAATATGATCCCATATAAAACGTTTCATTTAAAATCAGGAGTCTGGGGCTGGGGAGACAGCTGGGTGGTCTAAGCGCCTGCCTGGCAAGTACAAGGACTTAGTTAGATTTCCAGTACCACATGCCATGCCAGCAAAACTTGGTGTGGTGGGGCACTCCTGTAATGCCAGCGCTGGGAGTCTGAGCTGAACAGGGATACTATGTCAAATAAGTAAGTAAATATCAGGAGTCTGGAGCAGCTGACTTTCAGGAGGCTGAAATAGTGGTTGCAAGGGTAAGCAGACGGGATGAAAGTGAGTCCCTTGTCCCACAGTGTGAGCTTGGGGAGGTCACTTAAGCGCTGAGCTCAGCGCCCTTGAAACACACGGGACTTCACACCCCTTCTTTCGTGCATGTCTTGTCCTGTAGTAACATATTTTAGTCATTATTATTAAGTTTATAGTAAAAGGGCAAAATGATTTATAAATTAGAACATGTTCTTTTTTTTTTAAAGTTTGAACTTTTTATTTATTTATTTTGTGTGTGTGTGTGTGTGTGTGTGTGTGGCCAGCTCAGCCCACCAGGGGGCGGGGCTGGCTGGCAGGTGGTGCTGGGGGATTGAACCACGGTCCCTGTGATTTGTTTGGCTTAGCTTGTTCTAAGCAGGTGCTTTAGACCACTGAGCCATCTCACCAGCCCCTAGAACATGTTCTTAAAGAATGTTGATTTCTTAAAATATCTAAATGGTTTGAGATGTAGAAATTGCTTTATTTTGCATGTTTGCTTTATTTTATCATCTTGTTCTTTTTATCTTTGGTACTGGGAAATGAACTCACGACCTGGAACTTGCCAGGCAAGTGCTGTGTTACTGAGCTACTTCCCTAGGCCCCTGGTGTACCCCTTTAAAGTTCTTCTAAAATGAAATTTTTATCAATAACTATAATGTCAAGAAGAATAGCTAAGCCTGAGAAATGACAATGGTCAGTCTAATAATAATCCATTAAGTGGTAATCACTGGAGATGGGTGGGATTCCTTGGGTACCAGGAGAACTACCATATTGTATACTCACCCTTAGTTAAATTACTTACTTCTCTGGGTCTTAACTTTTTACTTGTACCGTGAAGTTAAACAAGATGACCTCGGAGTCTTTGTAAAGATTATATACATATATATATATGAATATGAGAGAGAGAGAGGGAGAGCGGGAGGAGGATCATCCCTAGAAGGGAGGACTACGTCATAATCAAGATGAAGAAGATATAAGCTTTAATTTATAGAAAACTTGAATGTAAAATCTGGATTTTATGAAATAGCTCATTCTTAATGCCTTCAACATTTAATCTTTTTCTTCTCAAACTTTTAATAACAGAACACTTTTGTTTATAGTATACACTTACACAGTATACTCAAGGTATTTTTCTAGAGTAAAATTGATACATCTAGACTCAAATGGAACGTTCCTAGTTTCACTTATAGGTAGGAAACTGAAGAGGAGATAAAGAAATATATTCTACAACTCATAATTTCTTTAAAAACAAAAAGCATACTGGTCGGCATCATCAGGACTGACTGTAACAGGACACACATTAAATACTGGGAAACGCTCTCTGTGCTGGAAGTGAGTCTCCCGTGGTGCCTTTTATACACACCTTAAAGCATGTCTACAATTGGAGACTACAAATACTGTACCAAAATATATAGGCTTAACAGAAGTTAGATGAAGAATTCAATAGTCAACAAATACTTGTGTAACAAGTAACTATGACATAATTTTTTTAAAAACTGTGTTCAGCATAGGGTCTACAGGGTCTCACTATGTAGATCAGAGACTCAGAGTGATTCTCCTGTTTTCAGCCTCTCAAACACTGGGATTACAGGTGTGTGTCACCACACCCAGTCTCAATCACTATCTCAGTGCACCACGGGATATGCTGGGATCGACCCACAGTCCCTGGAGTTGCCTAAGCAGGCACTATAGTGCACTGAGCTATCTGGCTGGCCCATACTTTCTTTAGGTAGAGTATACTTATCTTAGAACCTAGCCTACCTTAAATATAAAAGGCACTACAACTTTAACTTCCTTACGTAAAGAATGTTTGGTAGGGACCACCAACAATTCTGACACTTAAACACAGACTGGGTAAGGTATCAGAGAATCTCTGAGGCCTGTTATAAATAGCAATGCAAAACAGACTGGTTTAGTTAGGTTATTATAGATCTAAAAGAAGGAAGCTTAAAAACATACAGGCAGGAGGGAAAATGACTGCTTCGTACACATAGGTTCCTTCTGAATGAAGCTGTGGAGCTGGATGGGAAGACAGCCATGCAATTCGGGGAATCACTGCATTTCATTAGGCTCCATTCCTTCATGCAGCTCAGTTTATGCTATTCTGATTTCACCCCAGTTTTTTTTTAAAAAAAAAAGGTGAAGCGGAAGAGGAACTGATATGTAGGAAACACTATTTTTTTTTTCTTGTCTCTTGTTTTCACTTATTACCTTTTTTTAAAAAAACAAACATTTCCTTGAGAGACAGTATGGCAGTAACTGGTATGACACGATAAGCAGTACGTATCTAGAAGACCAGAAGGACAGGCACTCCAAGCATGGCCCTGGTATTACACCTGCTATCTTCAGTGCAGTTGCTTAGTTCACAGGTATCAGTATAATAGTCAGGGTGAGAACCCTACCAATTAACTGCTTGTTTCATAAACCTGCTGAAAATTCTCAGGATCACTGCCTTACCCATCTTGTGCATATAAATGTATGGCTTTGCACCCATCATGTTTCCTAGCTTTTCAAAAACACTATTTTTGGGCAAAAAATTTTTGCTTTTGAGACAGTATAATCTAAGCTGAATTTGGATAGCCCAGCCTAACCATTCACTCGAGATCCTCCTAACCTCAACCTTTCAAGTGTTGTAAAAATCTTAAATTTTATATTGACTAAGCTACATACTCATTATGAGAATATATTCTTCTTGCAGACTCCGTTTTTCTGTTTACTGTGGGATTGTATCTACTGAATTAAGAATGATGTTGTACTGTTGAAATGAAAATACATACAAAACCATTTTGTAATATGTTCAACAGTATTTTAATTTTAGTCAAAGCCAAGGTGTTAATACTGTGACATGTAACTTTAGGAGGAAAAATTAAGTGTCAGTTTTAAAATTTAGTCCCCCACACAGAGAATGCTAAATAAAGCATTAAAATTGGTTGTTTGAGACTTGTTAAAATTATGGCTTAGAAAACAAATCATCATAGGTAAACCTCTAATAATGTCACTGTGTGGAGGCGCACGCTGCAATCCCAGCTACACACGAGGTCGAGGCAGGATCTCAGATGTGAGGCTCGCCAGGCCATGGGCCTCAGGGGCAGAGTGCCCGAGTTCACACACAGCGGTGGTGGTGGTGGTGGGATTAACACACATTTTAATATTTTGCTTATTATATATCTAATGGATATAGTTTGAAGTTAAAATGCTTGTGACCAGAAGTGTTTGGAATTTCAGATTTTTTTCTGATTCTGGAATATCTACACAGATATAATGTGCTATCTCGGAAATGGGACCCAAACCTACACACTAAACTCATTTATGCTGCACTTACACCTTATACACATGGCCTGAAAGGAATTCTTACAGAGCTGTTAGTGTGTCTATGTCTTCACTACAACCCACTTACAAGAGGTCAGGTGTGGAATTTTGTTTCATGTCAACATCAAAATTTTTTTACATTTTGCAGCATTTTGGGTTGCATATTTTTGGGTTAAGGATGGCCAAGCTTACATTTCTTATATGCAAGTAAGCCCTGAAATAATTGTTAACCAAGACACTGAAATGTTTCTAATTAAAAGCATAACCACAAATATAGGCTAACTGGGAACAGCAAAACAGTGAGGGCAGAAGGTGGGGGCACACAGGCTGCTCCTGGGGCACTCACCAAGTGTTGCAGAGTCATGGAGTGGTCTTCTCCTGGAACTGGTGGAAGAGAATGAGTAGTACGGCGTTCCTGGTTTTCCTGAAGAGAGTTGGGCTGGACTCCCAAGCCCCAGATCTTGTCTCAGAAGAGTGGACTATAAAACAAGGACACGAAAGCAAGTCACCTTTCTGCAGGTGAAAATCCACTGCTTCTAAATTACTAATGGCATTTTCAGTCATGTCTTGAATTTAGGAAGCACCCAATACTTTCTGAATCATATCAGACCATGGTTTTGGCCAATATTTTTTTCTTTTTCCCACCCACCCCTGCCTGCATTTTATTTATCATGTAGATCTATTGATCCTAGTGTTGAAATACTCCATATTAAGTATGTGATTTCACTCTTTAATCCTGAAGAATACCTTTGAAAAGTGGTCACCCAGACTTCAGCTGAATGCCTTCATGCTTACACAGGAAGTATGCTGTTCTTTCCTTTTCTTTCAGAGAGCTTTCAGTGTTTCAAGGCTGCCCATATTTCCAAGACTCTTGCTCTCTTTATTTACATGTCATGATACAGGCTTGAGAGTCTTTCTACTCATCTGACACTGTCCTTTGGACTTATTTTTCCTTTGTTAAAATCTTTTGTAAAGTGGAATGGGAGACAGTGTCTCACTGTGGTCCAAACAATGTAGAGCATTTTTTTTTTTTCCTGAGTAGTTGTCAATACCATATTCAAACAACCTATTCTTTAGATGGTGCTGAGAGGCTAAGAATGATGGCACTTCATGGCTCCACGCTTCGCTGCACATGCTGCCGTCTTGTCCCTTTCCGTTGTACTACCAGACTTAACAGCTCTCTCTCTCTGATAAAATTCATCTTGTTCTATGTCGTCTACAGCAATCATCCATTCCTTTTTCAGATTCTGAGTCTATCAACTAAGGTATATGCTGCCCTTTCTAGTGTGCAGGAATCCAAAACTGTGATTAGAAGAAATCCATCATGACGATGGGGCTATGCACAGAGCCTGTGACCCAGAGACAGACTGTCAAACAGTACCCCTACTCAAGAGTTCTGGCATCTAAGGTGAAACGGATTACATGGACTGGAGCGGCAGCAGAGGAAAAGGCAATCCCAAAGGGAAAGCACGCTGAACACACTGGAGGGACACTCTCAAGGGAGCAAGATGAGTTTCCTCTAGCGAAGCATGCAACACCCTTGCTGTGGTCACTGCACTCAGTGAGCTGTCCTTTGATCGAATGTGCATCATGAAGACACTCAGAAACAAACTGCAGCTTTGGTCAGAAAGAATTAGAACTCTGGCACAGCAGTCATAACAACCTAGCCCCGCCTGCATTCATCTTTAAATAACACTAGGGTGGAATTTATGCAAGATAAAACTACTTAAAAGCCTTCAATCAATAAGATTTAGTTCACGTATGTCATAAAATCATTGTCGCTAGTTTCAGAATGCTTTCACCACCACAGAAGGAAGCCACATACCCATCCCTCAACTACCACTCACTGAATCTTGCTTATCCTATGGCAACCAGCAGCTGCTGTTTTCACAAATTGCCTATTCTCCGTATTTCACATAGTTACAAAAGACGTAACCTTCTGCTTCTGCCTTCATTCACCCAGCAATAATGTACATGAACTTCATGTACCTTGGTACAGGCATTAGTACTTCTTCCTTTACACGGCCGTTTTGTCCACAGTTACTACTGTTTGTTTGCTTCCTTTCTCAATACGGCCATTCTTTTTTCTTTGCTTTTGAGACAGGGTCTCACTGTGCACTTGCTACGCAGCCCAAGCTGGGCTCTGAACTTGCCGTACTCCTCAGTCTCCCAAGTGCTGGGCCTATGCCAAAATTCCTAGAAAGACAGCTGAAGGAGCATTTTATTGTGGTTTTGATTTGCAATACCCTAATGACTTACAATATGAAGCAACTTTTCAGAGGCTTTATGGCTATAAAAAGATCTTTGAAAAAATGTCTATTCAAGTCCTCTGCCCATTTTAAAATTGGGTTATCTTTTATTTGTTGAATTTTGAAATTGTAACTGGGGATGGTGGATACTGGAGATTAAAGCCAGGTTCTCAACAATGCCAATGCAAGTGCTCTACCACTGAGCTACACACCTCCCCATCCTCCTTTGAGACAAGGTCTTACTAAGCTGCTTAAGTTTATGAACTTGTGACCATCCTGCTTGAGCCTCCCAAGTATTTGGATTATAGTATGCACCCACTGTGCCTATTAAGAGTTCTTCGTTTGTTCTGGATGCTAGGCCACGATTAGATATATGATTTGCAATTATTTTCTTTCATATCTGTAATTTTTTTTACTTTCTTAATAACGTTCTTTTAAATGTCTAACAGTCTTTTAATTTGATGAAGACCAATTTCCTTTCATTCTTTGATGTCATATATAAGAATTCACCAAATCTAAGTCCATGAGGATATGACCCTGTTTCTCCTCCAAGAGGTTTATAGCTTCATCACATAATTAAGGTTTTGATAAACTGTGGTTCAACTTTTGTATATGGTGTGAAGAAGTTCTAACTCCTTCAATCTCCCACTGTGGATATGTGTCTGCACCAAGACCATGTGTGTATTGGTGGACTTCCTGAAAAAATGACTAACTACAATTTCTGGGCTTCCTTCTGGAGTCCTAATTCTATCTGAAGTCTTGTTACGTCTACCCAGGGCCATGCTGTGGTTTTTAGTCAAGTTTGGGTAAGCACTCCAGCCAACATTGCCTTTCTTCTACAATATAACTTTTGCTATTTGGGAATCTTTTGAAACTTGAGGAACAGTGTTTCTATTTCAATTTTAAAAAATTGAAATTTTGATAGGAATTACACTGAATATGTAAACTGCTTTGGGAACTACTGCCATCCTAACACTATTAAATCTCCCAAAATGTTAATACTGAACATATTTTCACTTATTTAATTTTTTTGCACAATGCTTTGCAGTTTTCAGTGTCATATCACATGTTTAAAATTTATACATTTTAATTTCTATGTATTTTAGTCTTAGTTTATTACTGGTGTATAAAACTAATTTTATGTGTTGATCTTACATCCTATATTTATTAGTGTTAATAGTTCTGTTGTAAACTCCTTAGGAATTCCTATATGGTAAGAACTTATGTGCAAATAGGAATAGTTTTACTTCGTTTTACGAGTTGGATGCCTTTTGTTTCTTTTTATTTATTTAATGTATTTGGTACAGGGTCTTACTACTGAACTTGGACTCATAGTGATCATCCTGTTCTCAGCCTCGCCAATGCTGGGATTACAGGAGTGTGCCACCATGCCAGGTCTCAGTTGCTGGCTCAGCACACCTGGCACGGTATGTGGTGCCTGGGATCAAACCCTGGTCCCTGCACTGGTCTAAGATAAGCAGGTGCTTAGTTCACAGAGCTATCTCGCTGGCCCACCTTTTCTTTTCTTTTCCTTTCTTTCCTTTTCTCTCCTCTTCTCTTTTCTTTTCTGTCTCCCTCCCTCTTTTCCCTCCTTCCCTCCCTTCCTTCCTTTCACTTTAGTACTCTGGCTAGAATTTTCAATACAATTTTGAACATAAGCAGTGAAAACAGTCTTGTTCCTCACCCTATAAAAACTAGTCCACTATACTGTTACTGTGGAGTATGATATTAGCTATAATTTTTTCATAAGTATTTCCAAGTTGAGGAAGTTCCCTTTAATTTCTAGCTTGTTAAATGTTTTCATAAAAACTTTCAATTTTTGTCAGATACCTCTTTGTCTACTGAGATGACCATATGGTTTCTATCTTCATTCTAGTAATGTGGTGAATTATACTCACCAATTTGCATTTGTTATACAACTTTTGCGTTCCTTTGCACAACCCAACTGGTTGTGGTGTATAATCTCTTCAACAATGCTGCTGCCTTCAGTTTGATTTTTTTTTTTTTTGCTAATATTTTTGTAAAACATTTTTGCATCAATATTTAGAAAGTCTGTCATCTTCCTTTTCCTACACACCAGTATCTCTGGCTTTGGTATCACTATAGTGCTACCTTCTAAGAGTAAGAAAGCATTTGGGACACTGCCCTCATTTCTTCTTTAAGTAACTGGTAGAATTCCCTTGTGAAGGTATTGTGTCTTGGGCTTTTCTCAACTGGGGAGATCTTATTAATGACTATGTTTTGGCTGTTTTTAAATTTTCTATTTCTTGAGCCAATTTTAATAATGCATATGTATTTTCAGGTGTTTGTCTACTTTATTAAGATTGTTTAGTTGTTGGCATTCAATTGACCAAAATATTCACTTATAATCTCTTTTCTGTGAAGTACAGTGTAATCACTCATTTTCACTCATGATGTTAGTAACTTGATTTTGCTTTTTTCCTAGTCAATCTAAGTTTCTCAATTTTATTGATATTTTTGAAGAAATA